AACAGAATATAATCGAACAGAATAGAACAGAACAGAACAGAATAGAACAGAACAGAATAGAACAGAATATAATAGAACATAATAGAACAGAATATAATAGAACAGAATAGAACAGAACAGAACAGAATAGAATAGAACAGAACAGAATAGAACAGAACAGAATAGAACAGAACAGAACAGAATATAATATAATAGAACAGAATATAATAGAACAGAATAGAACAGAATAGAACAGAATAGAACAGAACAGAATAGAACAGAATATAATATAATAGAACAGAATAGAACAGAACAGAACAGAATATAATCGAACAGAATAGAACAGAATAGAATAGAATAGAACAGAATAGAATTTGAACAGAACAGAATAGAATAGAACAGAATACAACAGAATAGAATAGAATAGAACAGAATAGAACAGAACAGAACAGAATAGAACAGAACAGAATAGAACAGAATATAATAGAACAGAATAGAACAGAACAGAATAGAATAGAACAGAATAGAACAGAACAGAACAGAATAGAATAGAACAGAATAGAACAGAACAGAACAGAATAGAATAGAACAGAATAGAACAGAACAGAATATAATAGAACAGAACAGAATATAATCGAACAGAATAGAATAGAACAGAACAGAATATAATCGAACAGAATAGAATAGAACAGAATAGAATAGAACAGAACAGAATAGAATACAATAGCCATTTATTGACTTTGTACACGTACAAAGAAATTACAGGAGCTCCACACCAACTGTGCAGGAGTGAAAAAGTAAAATCAATAAATAGCAAACAAAGGAAATATATAGAAAACAAGACAAAGGCACACACAGGAAACAGTGTGAAAGGACTTAGTTACTTAGTAGAGTGAGTATTACGTCAGTTTAATGAGCGAGTACGCGCATGTAAAAGCGTGTATAACTGTGCAGGACATCATAAAGAAGACCCAGTTAGCTAATTAAAGGCATGGGAACCACGCAGGAAAACGCCGAATGCACGAAGTTAATTTGTGGTGGAGTATGTGTTGCTGTGTAGCATTCCTAGTTTGATTTGCAGTAAGATATGATGTGACCACAGTTTCATTTTAAATCTGGATGTTGTACAACTTTAATCAGCGTCACGCATCTGAAACGTGTCAATAATAAACTAGATGAACAGAATGGAGTAAAAATGATTTTACTGCATTACATGCAAGTGAGAAAGAAACACGCGGAGTTTATTTGCACACAGCCAGACTGCGCGTCTGCACCGGAGCCCTATCTCATCTACTGAACTCGTTGCTGTGTAGTTTGTCCTTTCCCGCGCACCATCGCTAGCCAACATAGGAAAATGGCTTCAGCTGATTCCCAGCCGCGGTTCGGACAGTCTGTCAAAGGCTTGTTATCCGATAAAGTGGGCTCCTGCAGCGGGGATGTTATCGCGTTGACACGTCAAGTGCTAAAAGGATCCCGCAGTCAGGAGGTATCGCCACGCAAGTGATTTTAACTCAAGTTTAGTGCTTTTTAGCGTCTGCTTTGAGCAACTAGCTAATGGAAAGCCCATTGTTAGCTAACGGAAACACCACAGGAACTAGATCAGTGTGTATGCTGGAAGGATTCAGCCTGTTATGTTCAATATTTGACCAAGAAAATAAAACCCACCAAAAGACGAGCGCTGCTGTAATATATGCGTTACTGTAGCTGATCATTGTTTATTAATCACACAGGACACGAGTGGACGGCTGCTCTGACAGCTGGAGTTGTCTTATGGCGCCAGGTGTTTCAGATGTTAAATGGTGCCCTGACTTCATTTAAACGCACGTGTGTGTATTGTACTGAAAATCCTGCTGATTAAAAGCGGAACATATGTAGAAAGTTGAGGATTATTAGGTTTAACAGTTAAAGCAGGAAGCAGCGGATGTTGCTGGGATCATGAACATATCACTGTGACATTAACATGAATCAGCAGATCTGTATAGAAGAATAGAATTGGTGTACATGTACACCAAGCGTGCCGGGATGAAATCTGATTAATATAAATGGCAAAAAGGAGAAACCTATACAACAACAAGAGAAAGGAACATATGGGAGAACAAGCTGTAAATGCTTGGAAGAAAAGACTGAATAGAGTCCGTGTGTGAGTGATGAAGGCTACACAGACTGTGGCTCAGATTGGTGTTTGTTAACAGTCCAAATGGCCTGAGGGAAGAAGTTTGGGGCCATCCTGATGCTTCGGGCACTGACCTGCTGCAGTGCTTCACTCGCTCACTCACGGTCTTCTGTTGCTGGTAGTTTGCAGCTTTGTGAGTTTTGAGCTGCAGAGACATTTACTGTCCTGTATGAACTCAGTGTTTTCAATTCTAAATGTGATGTGTCTGTTACTACAAACATCTGTAATGAAAGAACATAAAGCAGATGACTCATGTGAAAGCACCGTGTGAACGTAGTGTTTACACGTCACACGCATGTCTTTGGACTGTGGGGAGAAATCCCGACTCTGGTGGCAGGTCTGTGTGTGCACGTTGCCACAGTGTACTTATCTCAGTAACTCCTCCAGGTACTTGGGCAGGTTTGTTTTAAAGCAGCTTCATGATAATAGTAGGAAGTCAGGTTTGTGATATTCATCGAACACACGGACGTGTGAATCTTGTTTTGTTGTGAAGTTAAGAGTTAAGTTCAACGAAGCTTCCTAACAGATCTGTTTCTAAAAGCCAGAGAAGTGAAGTTTTTGTTAAAAATGTGTAAGTCCTGATTGTTAGTGTGCGTCTGCACAGCTGGCGTCTGGTTTAATTTTGTTTTGTTGTTAACCAAATCTTTCAAATCGATATATTAAACAAACACGGACTCTTCTGGTCCAACGCTAACACGACCCAGTGGGTCTGAGTGTTTGCCTGATCCCAGTTTGATCCCAGGAGGAGATACAAATCCCAGAATACCATGTAATGCGGAATAAACAGACTTTTGCCTAGTGAACAAAACCCTGCTGTCCTTTTCCTGAGGAGTTTCCCTGTTTTCAGGATTTTCTGTTAAATGTGCTGTGGGTGTGGAGTTTTCCACGGTTGCTCTAGCAAAGCTCAGCTGTCACAGGGCAACAGGCTGCGCACCCTGGACGCGCTGCCCGTCTGTCGCAGGGTTTCCAGCTGCAGACGGCTGTCCTGATATTTCTGTGACAAACAGCTGTGAGATGTTACTATGGTGATAGAGGTTTGTTTATTCAGTTGAAGTACTGATTGAATAATCGTAACGATTGCGTTGCCGCGGATGTCTCTTCCAGCTTCTCGGTCAAGCAGCAAGAAGCATGGTGATTCAGGAGGATGCTATCCTGCACTCTGAGGACGTGAGTAGTCTTCTGATAGGTCAGAGGAAATCTCCACGATCACATGAGATGTGCTTCATTATTGGAGAAAGAAAATCCTCAAAAACAATTTTACACTCGGTGTTCGCTGAGGTCCAAAACTGTGTGTGTGCTCTTGCTCTCTCTCTTCATCTCTTGCAGAGCCTGAGAAAAATGTCCATTATCACCACACATTTACAGTACCAGTAAGTAGCACTCGTCTCTTTCATGTATGAAACCTGTTGGCTTTGCTTAAACTGGTTGCTGTAAAGTCTCTCTGTCTCTGTCTAAGGCAGGAGGCCATTCAGAAGAAGTAAGTGTGACCACAGCTGTTTATGCCTCAGAGAAACAGCTGGAGCATTTCTCAGCAGTAAGCTTGGTTCTGTTCCTCTGTCCTCCAGTGTGGAGCACTCAAAAAACCTGCAGGACCAGCTGAGACACCTGTTGAAGTAACGGAGAGGACATGCTGTGTTTACACGGTCTGCAGACGGCGTCTCAGGACACTGTTGGACTTTTAGTTCAAACGAGATAACATTTGAAGGGAGGCGCGTCTCTGCGTCAGTGAACCACCGTGAGATACTTGACATAAATGTTGTGTTCATTAAAGTCACATCAAACAGCACACATGCTTCTGTCATACTGGACTATATGTACACCTGTGGGACGGCTGTGTGACAATAACATCAAAGACCTGAATAAAAGTACTAAATGAGCTGGTCCATTGTCTTGCATTAAGGAGAAACATGACGCTGAGCTGCTCCTGTGACCGGCCAGCACGTCACCGAGTGGGTGGGAGATACTTTTCAGCATCTCCTCATCTTGGACAACATCCACCTCTTCAACAGCACCTTTAGAGAGTCCGGCTCCACACCCACAGCATCACCTGCTTTGTGGCATCTGCGACCCTCAACCTGCTGCTCCAGCATGTCACAGCATCCAGGACGCACTGGCCTCAACAGGGCGCCACCCTACACATGTTAAAGGACCTCAGCTGGTCCACAGTCGTTTGCTTTATCAGGTTGAGCTGCAGATGATTCTGCTTGCACCACAGAACGCAGCGCTCATACAAAATCGAATAAAAGGCTGAAGTGAAGCCAAGTCATCGGGACCTGCAGTCACCTGCAGCTTCAGCACTTTTGTGCCCGTTCTTGAACAGGAAGGGATATTTGTGGCCACGTTTTCATCTGATAGGATATTAAACTAAAGTTTAAACGTAGTGTTTTATCCACATACCAGGCTGTAGTCTGGCAACCTCAACGGAACAAAATGAAATTATGGGCAAAGCCTTTATCAAAAACAGTCCTCAGATTTGAGGGACGTGTTTCTCTTTCGCTGGCTCTTCATCATCCCTGACTGATGACGCAGAGCAAAAGGACAAATTTATCAGCAGCTGAAGGCCAAACAGCTCCTTAGCCCTGCCGGTGTCCCTGTAGCCGTGCTCCTGAGTTCACACGTGTTCAACAAGACTTCACAATTCGCTGCTGAGGAGGCGAAATCCAAGGCTAGGCACGTAGCGGGGCCATCAGTACAGTCTGTGTGCAGGTTGTTGCAAAACTACAGAAACTGTTTGTGGTGTGATGCTGTGGTCCGGAGTGTAACCGGCCTCTCGCTGTGAGGGAGCTGGGACAGGCTCCAGCATCCCCGCCACTCTGAGCAGAAGAATATAAAACACCAATAATAATAAGAACGACTGATCATTTCAGCTGCTGTTACAAAAGAATTTCCCTGAAAGATCATGTGCTCACAGTAAATCAACTGTGAGCTGACGGGAGAGGCGCTTAGGTCGTACCATTTTATTCAAGCATTCAAAGGTCTTCCTTCTACAAGTCTTATTCACTCCAGCTCTGAGTATCTCACCCCGGGGGCCTCAGTATCATTGTGACCTTCTCTAGTACATTCTGTCAGATGTCTGTAACGAGCTCAGGCCAACAGGACGTCCTGTGGGAACCGTCCCCACGGCCTCAATGCTGTTATCAGCTCGAGACTTCAGTGTCGTTACTGGTTCCAGACAATCACAAGGTTGTCTGAGTTTCACTCACTCTCATAGTTCATGTATAGTTCTGTGAAAATACACTTTTCACTTTTCCATAGCAGCAGCTTGATTTGTGTTTCAGTCATTATTATCCACCATCATGCAATCTCTCCAGCGTGTCCTGGGTCTGCCCCGGGGCCTCCAGCACAGATGTGTATATACTGCTGCACAGCTGGTTTAGGGGGTTTATGTTTTTCTGGAGGTGTGGTCCTTGATCAGCTGCAAAACAGCCTGTTTCAGTTTAAGCTTTGTTTTTAATAAATGCTTGAAAAAACGTTTTGTCTCCCTCCATTTCTTCTTGTTGAAGCTTGTTGAGATCCAACCATGAAAAATATCATTTTTTGCCATTTTTAGGTGGTCTTAAACCTTTGATGAGGACGTATAAAGGTGGGATGAAGATCAGCGGTGCAGAAATCTCATCATTCAGTCTCACACTGGCTCCAAACCTTCCCTAAGTGTCAGAGCATGTTCAGATTCAATGAGTGAAAAGGTCTCAGCGCGAGATTCACACGTTTGTCACAATCAGAACAAAAATGTAAAAGCTGTTTGCAGTGACCCGTCCCATTAGTTACAATGTTACAATGAAATTAACCAAGGAAAACTTTACTGAGGAGAAACATTAGTAGGAAAGAGATAAAGTCTGATAACACAGCACAGCTGACCTCTTATCATGAACCAGGCTTATCAGGAGCTACAGGAACACTTGTTGTATGTTGGCGCAGCAGGAAGAGGCTGGATAAACTCAGCAGGAAGGCCAGCTCTGTGCTGGGATGCACCCTGGACCCAGTGCAGGTGGTGGAGACAGAAGGACTCTGGCCAAAATAACATCTCTGATGGACAGAGTCTCCCAACATTTACATGCATGTAAGTGTTGCTGCAGAGCTGCTGCAGTGACAGACTGCTGCGTCCTCGATGCATGAAGGAGCGTTTCTGCAGCTCCTTCCTCCCTGCAGGGTTTTGTTCCCTGTCAGACTGCACAACCAGAACTGCTCCCAACAAACAGATGTTTACATCAGCGCTGTAACTTTCACTATTTTATCAACCGATTCACACGACAACCAGGTCGGCCTCTTATCTGTAGTTATTTAATGTAATAACAGTGCAGTACTCTGGTAACTGTTGTCCTTGATGTAAATATGTAAAAGAAATGTGCATGTTTGTGTCCTGTGTGCTGTTTGTTTGTGTGTCTCTCTGGCTGCTGTTACAACCAAATTTCCCCTCGTGGCACAATTAAAGGATTATTCTGTTCTAAGTGCAAATTTAACAGCAAAATCAAAACGCAGCAGCAATGTAATAGATTTTATTACAGTCATGAAAAAGCGTGTCAACTGCAGAACAATGCATGTTATCATTCTCCCCCCCAGCATAATTCAAAATAAAAAAAGCATTTGCACTCTCTGTTGCTGACATATGAAACTTGAATAAAACATAAAAACATGCTTTCAGCTTCATGGATTATGATGAGTCCGTCCTATGAAAGTCCTCCTGGGCACGTCCAGGTTCAAAAAGCATCCTTTGATTTTAGCTCAGACCTCACAGGACCGTCACTCAAACTGACCCACAGGAAGGAGAAAAGAAGAGCAGAGGAATACCCGTCTCAGCCTGCAGCACGATCACTACAGTCGCTCGTTAGCAGCAGCCGAAGCAGCCTGACCCTGTTGGCGACCCTGAACATGCTGCCTGTCTCCCTCTTCTGGCAGTCAGATCTACGCTTTTACTTCTTACCCTGATACTTTACGAGCCCCGTTTGTCGGCACCAGTCTTGCTCCCTCTGGCTCATCTGTACCAATGCAGGAATGCTGCCCCTGAAAACTCCAGCATACAGCCAAATTACAACCTTTAAGGCCCTCGCTGCAGCTTTATTGGTCGGACATATTTGTAGTTTCTTTAAAATCAAGGCAGCAGCATAAAAACATGAGAAAAGAAAAGCGCGTGTACATTGAACAGCATCTGTAATAACACTGAGGCACTTTGATCTCAGCCCACTCCAGGAACAGCACATCTGCAACATGTTGACAGCTGAACCAATGAGAGCCCTTTCAGACTGGTCACAGATTAACATCAGTGGAAGACCGTGATATTCAGCAACAACAAACCCAGTTTGAACTTCTGATATTCTCCCACAGTCACAGCAGAAGTCCGCCGTGACTGCAGCGTGGGACCAACTCTCGGTGCACAATCGGTACATGTGAGAAGCAACCGTTGGTATTGCGCAGCACGGAGCACAGCACGTATAAGCCCAGATAAAAGCAGAGCGCGGACTGAGAGTCCCTCTCTGTGAGCGCTCGCTCGCTGCAGTTACGAATCAAAGTAAAGACAAACGTAAAAATGGAAACAGGCTCTTCTGGGGAAAGGTTCACGGCCCTCCCCTACTCCTCCTCTTCCTCGTCATCATCCTCATCGTGGCAGTGGGTAATCTCCTGCGGGGCCTGAGGAAAGAAATGCGGCGGCTGGATCTCACTGATGGATCGGGTCAGCTGGTGTCTTTTGCACTCGATCTCCTTAAAGTCGACGTCGTGGCGGTTTCTTGTGGCCAGCGGCGACTCCATGTCCATGATGTTGACGTGTGTGTGTTCCACTGTGGATTCATGAGGCATCTGGGAGGGACACGGTTCAGTGAGTGACAGAAATCAAGAATCACTTTCTCGTCTCTAACAACGACCCCCATGGGGTGTGGGTGGGCACGGGGGGGTCTTTATACTCAACATAAATGGTTGCCTAAGTATTAAATGTCTAACGTACTGAACTGAACCCACCGATAGACCTTCGTGTGAATCTGAAACTCCTGAGAGCTTTTCGACTTACTGCATTCACAACTACGGGTGTAGGTTTCTCACCAGCACGTGTGCAGCTCTGAACAGGTAGCTGAAGGGGTAGTAGAGCAGGTTGATGAAGGAGGCAGCGTACAGGTCAGCGTAGCGCATCACCTGGGAGGCGAACAGAGTCTGCCGGGATCCGCTCCGAAACAGACTTCCCATCATGCCGTAACACATGTCCATGTCATGAGTCACTTTCTGAAAAGGTCACAAACATGCACAGTCACGTCAGACTCGCTGGTGCTGCGGAGTCAAAGGTCCCAGCTGCCGTTAGCATCAAACCAGTAGGATACGCAGTTCCTCATCCCAGCATTATGGAGCAGGTGGTGTGATGCCCAAGACAACACCAGTTGGTAATAGTACAGTAATATGTTGGTTACTCTATGATAACCTCCTGCTTATTCTATTGGCTGCTCTCTTTAGAGTTCACCACAGGAGAGCATCCTCCTCTGCGTACGTCCATACCAGCTCAACCCCTCAGCCTGTCCCTCTCATACTGGTTTCTAATCCTTCCCATCTGGATCACTTCTAATAAAAATCGAAGCATATTCAGCTCTGCAGCTTGTCCTGTCTTTCAGTGATGTCTAGTTTGGAGACCAAACCTATTGTGATTGGTCACTTAAGTTATGTATATACAGTGGTTGCAAAAGTATTGGGCCCCCTTGAACTTTCCCACATTTTGTCACATTACAGCCACAAACATGAATCAATGCTTATTGAATTCCAGGTGAAAGACCAACACAAAGTGGTGCACACGTGAGAAGTGGAACGAAAATCAGACATGACTTCCAAACATTTTTACAAATAAATAACTGCAAAGTGGGGTGTGCGTAATTATTCAGCCCCCTTTGGTCTGAGTGCAGTCAGTTGCACATAGACGTTGCCTGATGAGTGCTAATGACTAAATAGAGTGCACCTGTGTGTGATCTAATGTCAGTACAAATACAGCTGCTCTGTGACGGCCTCAGAGGTTGTCTAAGAGAATATTGGGAGCAACAACACCATGAAGTCCAAAGAACACAGCAGACAGGTCAGGGATAAAGTTATTGAGAAATTTAAAGCAGGCTTAGGCTACACAAAGATTTCCCAAGCCTTGAACATCCCACGGAGCCTGTTCAAGCCATCATTCAGAAATGGAAGGAGTATGGCACAACTGTAAACCTACCAAGACAAGGCCGTCCACCTAAACTCACAGGCCAGAACAAGGAGAGCGCTGATCAGAAATGCAGCCAAGAGGCCCATGGTGACTCTGGACGAGCTGCAGAGATCTACAGCTCAGGTGGGGGAATCTGTCCATAGGACAACTATTAGTCGTGCACTGCACAAAGTTGGCCTTTCATGGAAGAGTGGCAAGAAGAAAGCCATTGTTAACAGAAAACCAGAAGAAGTCCCGTTTGCAGTTTGCCACAAGCCATGTGGGGACACAGCAAACATGTGGAAGAAGCTGCTCTGGTCAGATGAGACCAAAATGCAAAACGCTATGTGTGGAAAACTAACACTGCACATCACTCTGAACACACCATCCCCACTGTCAGATATGGTGGTGGCAGCATCATGCTCTGGGGGGGCTTCTCTTCAGCAGGGACAGGGAAGCTGGTCAGAGTTGATGGGAAGATGGATGGAGCCAAATACAGGGCATCTTGGAAGAAAACCTCTTGGAGTCTGCAAAAGACTTGAGACTGGGGCGGAGGTTCACCTTCCAGCAGGACAACGACCCTAAACATAAAGCCAGGGCAACAATGGAATGGTTTAAAACAAAACATATCCATGTGTTAGAACGGCCCAGTCAAAGTCCAGATCTAAATCCAATCGAGAATCTGTGGCAAGATCTGAAAACTGCTGTTCACAAACGCTGTCCATCTAATCTGACTGAGCTGGAGCTGTTTGCAAAGAAGAATGGGCAAAGATTTCAGTCTGTAGATGTGCAAAGCTGGTAGAGACAGACCCTAAAAGACTGGCAGCTGGAACTGCAGCAAAAGTGGTTCTACAAAGTATTGACTCAGGGGGCTGAATAATTACGCACACCCCACTTTGCAGTTATTTATTTGTAAAACATGTTTGGAGTCATGTCTGATTTTCGTTCCACTTCTCACGTGTACACCACTTTGTGTTGGTCTTTCACCTGGAATTACAATAAAACTGATTCATGTTTGTGGCTGTAATGTGACAAAATGTGGGAAAGTTCAAGGGGGCCCAATACTTTTGCAACCACTGTATATACATGCATACATATAAACACTTCTCTCCCTCCCCCACCTCACAGTCCCTCTTCTTCTTGTTAAAGTCCTTTTAATGTGTCCTTCTCCAACTGCACTCTGCACCATAGTGCACAACTCAAGTGTGTTCCAACAGGAAAGTTGGCAAAACAAGGAAAAACAGGATTCTTATGAAGGTAGAGCTATTCATGTATCACTAGCAACATCCCATAATACTTGCTGTCTTTGCACCTAAGAACATGGCTGCAGCAGAGCCTGCTCAGTGCTCTGCATACATACACAGGTTTGGTTTGACACCTGTTTCTGTGTCTGATTCACTAGATTGTAACTCCTGTCCGATTTTAAATCCTAGTTCAGGGGGCGTTCCACAGGAAAACTTTGATTGAGAACTGGGAAACTATGGAACTTTGTGGAACGCTGTATAGATCCACACCTCCACTCCACAGTCGCATCACATCTTCAGGGCGAGCATGAATCTACAAAGGATTCCCGTGCTGTGAAAGAGGTCATGCCTTGTGCCTGTGCCAAAAAAGGTCACGTTTAAATGACCCTAAATGACACACACCACACACTGAGGAGACTGACTGTGGAACAGGTCCGGCCCATGGCCATCCCACTGACAGACCGCTTCAGTTCACCTGCCAGCCCAGGCTACGATGCTCAACCGTAGCTACACACAGCGTGCTAAGCCAGGGAACATTGTGCTTTAAAGACCAGCAGGCCAGCTCTACTGAGTGATGCGCTTCCTCCACAGCATGCTGTCTTCCTTCTCTCACCCCAACCAATCACAGCAGATGGCCCCGCCCCTCCCTGAGCCTGGTTCTGCCTGGTTCTGCCGGAGGTTTCTTCCTGTTAAAAGGGAGTTTTTCCTTCCCACTGTCGCCAAAGTGCTGCTCATAGGGGGTCATATGATTGTTGGGTTTTTCTCTGTGTGTATTATTGTACGATCTACTGTACAACATAAAGCACCTTGAGGCGACTGTTGCTGTGAATGAGCTGAGACTGATGCCTCCGTCTGGTGGATTACAAATCCAGGGGGAAGCGTACAGAGGGAAATTCTAACAATGCTGTCACTGTTCATACACTTCACTTTACTGGACATTAACTGTAGGTGCAAAAACCTTTATACCTGTGTTTCTGTAAACGCTGCACTTCTTTAACATGTCTTTAGAAAAAGAACCGACTTACATGTGATGCATTTGATAACAGAAGTGATGCTGTGCTGAGCCAGCCTCAGAGGAAGTTGTACCTTAATGCGTCTCTGCAGGGAGCTGATATCAGGCCTCTCGTTGCTGCTGCTGTCCATGTGCCTGAGGACAAATCATTTGAAATGTAGTTTCCACAGCTGAAGGTTGAAGCTTCTGCACTGATCTTTCTGTTAACAGCTCGAAATGATTCCTGGTTAAAGGCAATATAATATATTTAGGTTTGTTACATCTGTGCTCGATACCTGCCCAACCTCCCGGGCTACACTGGTTCTTATATTTAACTTTGCATTTTATGCTGTGCCGCTGCTACTACAACACAATGCTGCTGGAGGCTTGTAGCCTCAGACTCACACTTTGTTCATCTGTCATCAATATACTTGTTTGCTGTGATCGGTGGTAAAACACTCAACATTTCTTTCTGTATTGCTGTAAATATCAGTGTTGCAGATATAACTCTGAGGCCCATCCGAGCCCACAACATGTTTTCTTGTTGTTTTTAAAATTGCTCATCAGACAAAAGAAGAACCTTACTTGTAAAACTCTGCCAGAAAACAGTCCAGTGACTGAAGTTCTTCAAATAAGGCTAGAAAACAAAACAGTGTCAGTTTATTTCCTTCACAGAGTTATCAGTGAAATCTTTACTGTTCACACTCCCACAGACAGGTAACGTAGTACAGCTGAGCTATTCCACAGACCGCACATCAACGATGGACACAGGCACTGAATCTACAGTTTGTGAAACATCAGAAAACTTCATTCATCACGGCCTCATCGCTGCTTCAAAGGCACGCGCATGACTGATGGGCTGAGGTGGTGCCGAGCTGCCCGTTTGCGCCACTGTCGGCAACATGTACTTACTGAAACCTGAACATGTGCAGAACGTTATGTTCAGTGATGAGTTCAGTTCTGCCTACTGCAGCTGGATCGTAGGTTCAAAGGTGGAGAATGCTGGAGCGACTGCTGCAACATCAGGTGGCAGCAGCATCTCCCTCGCCGGGTTTGTCGTGATTGGAGGCAATTTCAGTGCAGAGGGATGTGAAGAGAAGAGCCAGTGGCAAACCTACGTGTCCATAGTCTGGGACCAAACTGTCATCCCAGATGACCACACCTCTGCCCCCGCACGCCCAGCAGTTCATCTGTACCTGCAGGAGGAACGGCCTGCCCACACTCCTGACCTTCACCCTCTGAACACTTGTTCCTGCCAGAGTGACCAACGCACCGGGGAATGTGTGAATTTGAGACCCGGCTGCAGCTGAGCAGTTTGTTTCTACACAGTCTCACCTTTGACTCTACAAACACTTTGCAACATCGACCTCGGCAGGAACAAACTGGCTTTGCAACGGTGTCGGATTTAAACAAAAGAAAGAATCAAACACACAGTTCTCCGCCTGTGCTGCCTGTAGCCCACAGGATAAACATGCTTATTCTTATGTGTGCACACGTGTGAGCGCAGACTCACAGCTCTTGTCAGTCCACACATGCAGCTCCTGGGCCAGCTCAGGTATCACCAGGAACGTCCTCCAACCCTGACGCTTCTTAGATTTGAGAATGTCGCCAAAAATGTGGTCTCCGATGTAGACGATGTCCTTTCCTTTAGCGCCCAGCAGGTCACAGACGATGTCTGAAGAACCTGAGACACAAAAACAAGGACAGAAAAAACACTTCTTAAAATGACCATAATCAATCATTTCAAAACATTTCTCACCTGGAATGTGAATTATTTACAATTTGAGCCAAAAAAGGCGAAACGTTTGCAGATGGTTACAGAGCATCAGAGGGATCGGTCAGAAGGAGGGTACAAAAATGTTCACAGCACTGGATGCATGATGGAAACCAGCGAGGACAGCCATCGAACCACAGCGACAGAACCTGACTCGACAACAAAGCATCGGTCTGATTAAACTGGGCTGTTGTAAGCGCAAGCTTTCCAGGAACAACCATCAGCTTCAGGTTTGGAGCTGTGACTCGGCTCACACATGTTTGCACATCACCTCTGTTTGTTTCAGAGACGAACCTCTTACATCATGCAGTGAGAGTCACGGATTAAGGAACGAGCCCTTTACTCAAAAACAGGTCAGGACTGTAAATACAACAAAGTCCTGACTGATCAGAACATCTAAACATGAGATCCTGTCCAACATCAGCACAGCTCTGTTTTTGAAATTTACCTCCAGAGTAAACGATGCCGTGCTGAAGAGGTCCAGTGTACGTGCCGATCTTCAGCCGTCCTGTGCTCTGAAAGAAAGACAACACGTCACATAAGCAGCATTTACTGAACTTATCTTTTGTGCAAATGAAATTTCCTGCTCTCGCTCAGCGGGCAGCCAGCGGACATCATCTGTGGGTTAAGCTCAGTATCACAGGTACTTTGAAGAATTTCCCCTGACATGAGAACCCAAAGCTCACAGAGGAAGCCCAGGCAAAACCACATCTCATGTCTTCACAGGCCTGGTGCTGAGTGAGCTGCAGGTCATCAGCCACATTTCAGCGGCCGGTGTAACTGTGTGGGAGGAAGCGTACACTCGGGCACCGGTGAGTGGCTCTAACTGCAGCACCGTCACAGGAACGGTCGTGTGGTGAAGGTGCATCGAGCGTGTGACAGCAGAGGACGTTATTTTGGAAACAGCACTCGTCATCATGCTAGTCGTATCAAAGACACGGCAACAACGCAGCCGGCTACACTCGAGTACACTCACAGTGTCGACTTGTCGTAGCACCGTTCCTTCCCCGAAGAAGACGGGCTTACGGGCATCTACCAGGATCAGGTCGAAGTAGGACTGCCAGGGCTGGTGGGGCGTGCCCGGCTGCAAGGCCATCCACACACACAATAACACATCAGTCTGAGCGTGTAGGTCAAATGTGTACGTAAGCTTAAATCATCCGTGTTACCTTCGGATCACGAGGGAGGTCAAACAGGTAGCTCATAATTTTCTGTAAGACAAGAGTTTTTTCATCAATCATGTTTGAAATTTTCCATTTTCACACCACAATGACGACCCTCCCTCCCTCCCTCCCTCTCTTCCTCCCTCCCTCTCTTCCTCCCTCTCTTCCTCCCTCCCTCCCTCTCTTCCTCCCTCTCTTCCTCCCTCCCTCCCTCTCTTCCTCCCTCCCTCCCTCCCTCCCTCCCTCTCTTCCTCCCTCTCTCTCTCCCTCCCTCCTAAAAGACTAGTTTAATAGTTAATAAATGATGCACTAATTCGATGATGTTGTTCATGCAGCCGTCAGACTTCTTCATTCTGAGGTTTTCTACAGAAGAAGATGAAAACAGCTGTTTATTGTTGTGAGCTTTACCTGTGTGTACTTATAATCACTGTTGGTGACCAAAAACACTTTGGAGACTTCATTCATGCGACTCAGGAGCAGAGGAAGCTTCGGCTACAAACACATCAAAAACTGAATCATTAAAATCATTTCATTTATTCATTTCTCAACAATATGTGTCACCAACACCACAGCTTCACTCTGTAGAATCAGAGCTGCTCCACTTACGTCCTTCACCACGTACTTCTCCAGGTTTTCAACGGTTTTTTCTTTCAAGGAGCCCTGTGACAGTAAATCAGGTTACTGAGGACATTCATGGACCAAGCAGGGACTGAAGGACGTGGAACTAGGACACAGGAGTCTCTACCTTGAAGTGAACCCAGTCCACAGCATCTCGGACATCCTGGAACATGCTCTTGTAGGACATGAAGAGGTCCCCGTCTTTGAATCCAGTCTCACAGCTACAGGGACACATTATGTTTACAGCGTTTCCATGTTTCTCAAAGAATACTATGATGATGAAACACTACAGCAATATCAGTCATTAACAGATCATCATCAGAGGAGCGGCTGCCCCTCGCTGCCTGAATCACTCAGCCTACAGTACCTGGAGTATCTGGAGCAGTTATTGAAGAAATCCACCAGGCAGGCAAAGAGGTAGGTTTCTGAGGAAAGGGAGAGTGAGTCTGCACCCGTTCATTGGAAAAACAAACCAAAACCAGCAGAAACACAGCAGTCATTGTTCACTTTCTGCAGGATACCTGGGCACGGGTCACAGGCAGCAACCCAGGCAAAGCCCCCTGCTCTAGTTCTCCCAGCCGTCAAAGGCAGCCGGGAGCTGTAATCACTCCAGTGTGGCTCAGGTCTGCCCTGGGGCCTCCTCCCAGGCGGACACGCCCTAATGACCTCACCCCGGAGACATTCAGGATAAATACCTGCATCTCTACTCTGAGCTGTCCTGAGCGACGAGCTCTGGGCTTGGAGTTTATGAACTGCCTGAGTCATGAGCTGAAATCCTGCACACAACCTGAGTCTGCTGCAGGAAAACAGCCCAGTTAGCAAGTAGTCCTGGCGAGGGCGGTGAGTGGTGCGAGGGCGGTGACACCAGCAAAGACCAAACTCACTCACGTACCGTTTAATAATGTTCCTCACAGCCGTATTTAGAACTCGTATTAGTTGTTTCACGCCTACAGTTTTTCTAACAGTGACGTTTTCTATGAAGTAACACGACCATCCCTCTTTCTTTGGCTGAGTGTGGGAGGGAGCTGTGGATGTGGGCGTCTGTTCAAAGTAATATCTGCCTGTAACCAGTCAACAGTCTGCAGCCTCGTTTCTTCCCTGCAGCAAAGCTCAGTGTGGTTAAACTAATGGAGTGTTGGATGCTGACGGACGCACGTGCTCGGCATCTGCAATCACGCTCGACAGCATAAACAGCCGTCTGTCTGTGGTGGTGTTTGTGTGGCGCTGCGAGCTGCAGTGTTTGTAACAGCAACCGTGTGAGTTAATCAAACTGTCATCGGGTCTGGTGTCGTTACACACTGAGCAGAGTCTGATGTGGAACAAGAGGCTGATAAAGATGGACAAACAAAAGGGCAAAGTAAACGTGAGAGACAGAAATGAAATCACATTTACTGACGTGTGAGCGGCTGCACCATCTCAAACAAAGCCGTCACCAACGGTCGCTGTTGCTGACACTAGTGCAGGAGGAGCAGCAGCAGTCCCAACAGGAGTCAGAGACAGACAAAGGTGTAAACAACACGACAGATGGAGAGGAGGCCGCTCTAAACATCAACTCTGCTTCTTAACACAAGCGAAGACCCTACCCTCCCATCCAGCCACCGCTCACTCATGTCACCATCAAAGGTACACTCAGCCAACGCTACTGAACATCTTTCTTTGCATACAGAGAAAGAACTGGAAATCCCATCAGCAGCTCTGCATACGTTTGGGTTTGACTCACGCGTCACAGACTGGATCAAGCAGTGTACAGCTGAGCCTCAGTCTGCAGGGTTGATTCCTGAGGTCACTTGTGACAGTAAACGCCCTTGTCCTTGCACTAACATTATGCACAAGTGTAACAAATTGTTTTTGGTTATTTTTTTATTTTTGGTTTTATTTGTTTTGGAATCATTACATAAACATTTACTGCAATTAATTTATTGGGGTATTTATAAAAATCTGCATGTACTGAAAGCTTTAAAACCAACCTTTTTATTTAGGTTGCTAAAGATGCAAGAATTTGTTTTTGTGTGAACTGGACCTGAGGTGATTCTGAGGATCACAAACATGTGAGCACATGATGCAGTACATCGAATGACCAGCAGGTGTCAGTGCTCCAGCGCGAGCTTCCTCGCACTATCACTATGATGAGTCTTTAGATTTAAAAAAAACATTTGCCATATAAGCTAAAATTAAACAGCAATCATGGGATATAAATTGAAACTTTGGATTATAATATTTTAGACAAAGCAATGATTGTTCATGAGAAAATATTCTAAAAAAAAAAAAAGATTAGAAATGGAGTGACACCAAAAAATCCACTTAATCAATGAAATCACTTCCTGAGCACCATCAGAAAACTCCAGATTTCCGTTGTGGTTGCTTCTCTTTGGATTAGACGATAAACTGATATTGTTAAATATATATTTGCTCAATCCAGCATGTCAACGGGATTTTGTTTGTGACTAAGAAGCTGACACCATAGACGGTCATACCTCTACTCTTCTCCACACAAGCCCGACACGTGTTATATTTTCGACACTGCCTCTGACAGACTGACAACAGATGCTCCCTGTGGTTAAAACAGGCAGTCCCATCTTTAGCATGGAGCGCCAACGTGCTACCACCGATGAACCCGACCTACAGAGTCCCCGTTAATGCTGCCAATGCAAACCCAGCTCTCACCACAGCTGTATGGGAACCAAATGGTATATAACTGCTGGCTGACAGCTGGCCCACAGTTGAAGGCCTTTCCCAGGTTGATAAAGCACATGTAGTCTTTCTGCAGACATGTTTTGTTTTATTATATCCTTTTTGTACAGACTGCATCAGGCTCAGGTTTGAATTTTAAGATCAGAAAACTTCCAGAGTTGCTTTGCTTACTTACCGGGGAGGTTAAAGAGAGTGTTGAGGATATAGAAGCGGTCTGTGTCTCCACGCTGGATGAATTTGTTCGGGTACATCTCTCTGATGTCAGGTCTGAGCAGAAATAGTAACCAAGAAGTAGCAAATATAAATACAAGCATACAAACCTCACAACATTATTATCTCCCTCTGCAGCGGTCCAAACTCTACACTGAAACCAGCGTGCTTGTTAACATGATGTGAGTGTGGCACACAGCATGGGAAGATGTCAGGAATACAGGGATGAGTCCAAGAAGTCAGTCACAGGTAGAAAACTGCTGGCAGATTAAATCCAGTGTGCTCAGTTCTTCGGTCTGTAGCTCACCCAGATGTGCTGCTCATGAGCCAGACACACAGACAAACCAGTGTAGCGGCGTTTTAGCCACAATTAAGCTGCTAAAGAACTGAATGGCTCCTGGGTGCTTTAGCTCAGCAGCACCATCATACTAGAATCTGTAATCAAACTCCTGCCTGCCTCAGCTGTACTTGGAAGATGTCCACAGCACCTGTATTTGAGTTTTGACCTTCAGCACAGAAAAATTCATTGGTTGCTGAAGTAGAGAAATATTGACCTGATCCACAATCACATCCTCGAAAGCACAACGACAACGTCAACAATCCCCCCAACAGGCTTAACCAGTGAACGTACTGGTGATCACCAGCGAAAGGTTTCTTGCTCTGAAGAAACACCGGCATGCAGCACTTCCTCTGAGCGGTGCTTGACAGGACAGTCAAGTTTCAACAGTTTTCATCACCTAAGCTGAATTTAAAGACATAGGTTTGTATAATTGCCCAGTTTAAAGCAAAGTGGGAGTAATGGACCTTACCCCTTCAAGAAGTTGAACCCATGCACACACACCAGAATGTTTCCATAGGCATCAACTTTGAGCAGGTTCCCATACATTGTGTCGAACACCAGACCTCTGTGAAGCACGGAAATAGGCGAAAACATAAACACTTGACATTCACCATTCGGTGCAATGGTGAAGTGAAATAATAAAGCTGGGATCTGTGAACCTACCTGGTGGGGAAGGAGGGATCGTAGACAAAGTTCAGCAGCTCCTGTGGATATCCAATGGATACCAGGCGCTCCACTGTCAAGTCGAAGCCCAGGGACTCATATTCAGGAGATTTATACACTAAAAAAGCAGAGAGACAAGCTCAGGTTCACAACAATCCTTCCAGTAACGGATGTCATTGTATCCACCATGGAAAGAGTCTTATTCATGTCTTTGGTATCTTGCTACAGCGGTCCAAACAAAACCAAACTGTGTCTTCTATCGTTTAAACAACAAGCTAGCAAGGTCTTCTTCTGCATCGCGGTCATATCTCCCACGAGCACACTGCATGCTTGCTGCCCATAAATTCAAACAAACACATTTGTGCTTTGGCAACGTTTTTAGGGATCATATTTATTTAAACTCTACATAAAACGTAGCGGTTCCTGTGGCTGGGTGGGGGTGGATATTTCCACTTAATATTCTGTTATTATTTTATAATGTGAATTCTAAAAGTTAACTTCAGAGACTGATACACAGAAAATGCAAAAAAAGGAACATTTCAGGCTCCTACCGTCATAGGTTTTGTCTAAATATTTAAATAATCACGTAATTAAGGTAGACGTAGATGATGGCATTATCTAGGAAGTTCCTTCAGCTCGGTGCTTTAAATCAGTCGTGTTCTCTGACAGCAGATTTAGGTGCAGGGAGGGCTTTTGTTTACAGCTGATAACATTCTGTAATATTCTTCTGACGATAGGCGATATATTCACCCAGGCCACTTTCTGATGGGCGGGGCAACGTGATCATGCACGGACTGTTTAGAACACAGAAGAAGTCCAAACATGGAGGAACTAGCTGCCAAAAAATACAAAGTCGCCAATTTGGGAATTCTTTGACTTTAAACTGGATGAAAGAGGGAAACCTGAGGATGTAACCAAAGCGGTGCAGACGCACGGTGCCAGCAAAGGACTCGAGCACGGCTGACTTGCATGAGCATGTACGTGTCCACCATCCTGCTGTGCTCAGCTTACCGCAGCCAATACTGTGACTCACGCGGCTAAAACGTGCTCGTTTTTCTGTCAAAGAATTTCTACGTTTTGTTTGGAGGGAACATCTGACCTTCTTTTCTTGTTTGTTTCAGTATTAATATAGCTATAATACAGCGTTTTTAAGATCACTGGAAGAGACATTTTGATTTTTAACTTTTTGTTTAATTTTGTATTTGTTTGTTGGGTCGAGTGTGTCAGACAGATAAACACAGAGTGGAAAAAGAAGCCAGTTTCTCTTTGATTCTCTCCCACCATCGTTGATGGTCGACATATTCGTCCAAACAGTTTGGGATACCACCGCTGCACACATATATGTGGAGTTAAGGAGGATGACCTAAAATAAATAAGTGGAATTTACATTAAAGAAAAGACTCACTCACCTGCAAGAGTGTAATCCATATCAAAACCAAAACACTTGATCTTTTCCATGGCCAGGCTTCGATTAACAAACACTCTGAAACAGGAGAATCGTTCGGTCAGCGACTGCACGGCAGATGAAAGTGTAATGAAATCTAAAACTCAAATGAAACAACACTGCTTACTTTTCCCACAACACACACCCAGACCACAGTAAACAGTTAACAAATCAGTCTGCAAGGACAGAAACTACAGAACAGTGCAAAGTCTTAATGCATGATGCAGGCCGAGCTTCAGTCCCTCAGATAAAACTCACGCTTGTTATTACCATCAGCTGGAAAAGGCTGATGATGTCACCTTGCTGGGCAGGTAATGTGATGCAGGACTTTCAAATTAACATCATACGTGTATCTACCACAAATCTGAGATGAGTTTGAATCTCAGTGACCTCGGCCTCAAGGTCAGGGGTCAGAAAAATGTCATCAGACTATTTCTTATAAAAAAAACTTTTATACTCTACTCGAGCATTTAAAGCACTTTATACTGCAAGCCTCACTCACCCAATTATTTCTTCTATGCCCAACTACTTTCTAATGAAAACATCCCTTACTGCCAATCGTACTACACAAAGTCATTATGCAACGAACAATTACACGAGAGAAAAGTCTGTGTTTTGACTTTCAACTGCAGAAATTTCTGCCCCTCTGTTTTTACGAAATCAGTTAAAAACCAAAAAAAACCTGGACAGTCTGAGCAGTGAGCTGGCGTGGTGGCTGTAGCTCAGGTAGTACTAACTGGAAGGTTGGTGGTTCATTTCCCATCTGTGCCAGTCTGCATGCCAAATATCCTTGGGCAAGATAATAACCCAGCTTTCCAATGCATCCATTGGAGAATGAATGTTAGCCAGAAAGCAGTCACATAGAAAGAGCACAGAAAACCTTCCTCGGTAAATGAGGCAGGTTGTGTTCGAGTGCTCAGAGTAGAAAAGCGTTATAAGTACCAGTCCATTAACAAGAACCAGTCAATTAACTGGTTCTTACAGTTTACGTCCAAAGAGTCGTGCTGACTGTTTTCTGTCTTTGTCACAGCTGCTTTTTCTTTATCATGTAGACAAACTGGTAAATATGTAACTTCTCTACACTGACAGTAGGGGGAGTTTCCCGCAATGTAAAAATGAAGCTATGTGGCCATTAGACTGATGGCCCATCACAGAATGGAATCCCAGCGGTTATAAGAATTAGGGCAGGACCCCCCAGAGTCTACACACAGGTGGTGCAGATAAAGATGGAGGCTTGAATGAGCCTGAGTAACATGGGAGAGGCGGAAATGGGACGGAGTTGGTTGCATGAAGGCGTCTGCAAGGGAGAATGACGGGTAAGCAGTGAGCATGCAGAGTAGAGGCTGACTGGCCTGAAGAAGGCGAGCAGGAAGATGATTGGACCAGCGATGTCAGTGATGAGCTTTACAGTGTGAGAAGTGGAAGTGATGTAAAGCTCAGATTAGCCACCAAATACCCAAACAGCAGACAAATGTGTGAGCTCATATCGTCCTCACTGAACTGATAATGTGACCTGAGCTAAAGCAGAAATCCAGATGTACCAGATCCAGTGTTTCCAGTTGATTTTTGCCATTTGCAGTTTGTTGGTAACATTGTTACCAGAATGTTCTAACACCAACATGCTGCATAAAGGCAACATATGACTTTAGCACATGGAAGCCACTCATATCACACAGGCTGGCTTCAGCTAACCAGCCACAAACTGCAGTTTAATAGATGAGCCAGTGGGAGCTCACAACAGAGAACCAAACTCATGCACATTGCCATCAACCATTTTCAACAATCCCAAATGAAATCTTGGATTTTTCTACTTGCGGAACGTGAAAATTGAATGTTTCAGGTATTATCCAAGCAGGAATGGGAAAAATCTGAAAGACTTGACAACATTTTCCATGAAGCAGCATCCAAATCCAAAAAATGTGTATACGGAAATAATTGAAGACGTACAGATTAATAAAGGATGGAGATTCAAACCCAACGTCAAAGGTTTTAGGACATTGAAAACATAAAAAGAAAACAGAATGCAATAACATGCAAATCTACTGAAATAAAACTACTGAACCCACAATTTATTAGTGCGCGTGTAGATTCAAGTTAAAAGTGCTTAAGCAGGGCACCAGTTTAGCTCAGTTGGATGAACATGCCACATGGCTGAGCGCGGCCAGCTTCGAATTCGACCTGCGGCCCTTTGCCTCATGTCTTCCTCAGTCTTAACTTTCTCTGTCCAATAAAGCCAAAACAAATCTTTAAAAAAAAAGAAAAAAAAAAGCATAGATAAAGGGCCGTACCAATGTGTGACTGGATTCTACTTGTAGTAGAAAGTGCTTTAAGTGATTAAGTGACACCTGAAGAAGATGTCTACTTCGAAGAAGATGTCTACTGAAGAAGATGTCTACTTCGATAAGTGCTTTAAGTGATTTATCGAAGTGACATCTTCTTCAGGTGTTACATATTTAGGCATGACAATGCTAAATTGCAAAGTGCAGCTACACCAGCACGGCAGCAGAAAGTACAGAACTGGCCTCTCTGCAGTCGAGACGTTTCATCTGCTAAAAACATTTGGCACACTGCGAAATAACGACAGAAGACACTTTTGGAACTGACAATAACCTGTAATTCTGGATTTCAGTTCATCTGATGTATAATAATGGAATAAAAGGATAAAAGGGCAGATGGAGAAAGAAGAGAAATGCAAATCCAAGAACCCACAATGAGAGCTGCTCTCCTCACAGTGAGAAATCCCAATCATTAATATTATGGAGCTCCATGAGCTGAGAGCTTCATGGAAGGTCAAACCAAATCACAGACATCACAACTCAACAGTAACGTCGTCACCATTCACAGTTTCAGTAACAATAGGACGGCATACCTCATTGCAGGATGGTTTTGAGCCAGATCCTTTGGAAAGCTTTGTAATAGAAAATACACGCAGTATTACCACAGAAGTGCTAATATTACCACTCCTGCTGCTCTCTGACTGCAGACAGTCTTTTTATCTCTTAACAAAAGCAATTAGATCTGCCTTCATTACCTACTATTAGTTTAAAATTATGAACATACAAGAAACAGCCACAGCTGACATTTTAATACAGTTCTGAATACATCTGAGTAGCAATATAACAAAGCCCGGGTCTGTGGCTTTATAAAGGACACATCTGAGACGAGTCAGTGTGTTGTTTGGTTAGAATGAATGAGAAGAAACAGTCTTATTTCATTTTGGTTGCTTGTTCTTATCCTTCGGTCATGCCAGAGTGATATCACAGGTTGAGCTTTGACTAAATGATAAAGTGGAAAACAAGAGCTGATTAAGGACTTTCCTTTGAACTTGTACGTCTTCCATCCGAATTCCTGCCTGGCTGAGAGCGCCTCAACAAAACCGACACCAACTCTAGCAAACCCCCGATGCTACAGCAGCTGTGCTAGGAGACAGAGACTCAGGATAATGACAAACTGATCAGACCGATATGCATGTTTTTAATCTGAGGTGACAGTAATTGAACTGTGAATCTACAGTAAGGTTAATAGTCCATATGTATAAGTTATAATTATGATTTTTAAAGGCCTTAAAAATCATAGTTATTATGCTCAACCATTATTTATTTGAATAATTAACCATAACTATTCAATTCAATGTTATTTATACAACAGTCGCCTCAAGGTGCTTTATATTGTAAGGTAGACCCTGCAGTAATACTGTCACTTTGATGCTGGTGGATATTTAAAGAATGAGTCAAGAGAACTGCTGCAGCCGTACATATCTGGAAGACGTCCACTTCTGTTTCCCTTTTTTCCTCTTTTGCAAAGACTAGATCCTTCCTGTATTAGCTCACAGCTGACCGCAGCCAACAGCACGAGGCCTCTGTTACAGCACTGGTGTGTTTTTCTTCATGAACATGTCTGAATGGTATGCACTGGGTATGAATGACAGAGTAACGATTGGTAGGGCAGTGCACAACCTGACGTCAGACAGAACCTTTATTACAAGAGCCAGGCTGGCCCTGCTGTCGCCCTGCTGTCGCCCTGCTGCTCTGTGCTCTCTGTTACAATCGGCTGATTTCAGTTCTTGTGCCAGAGGAAGAGAGCAGCGACACAGTGTGGATGTGACCATTACACAAAAGGACCCGAGAGCGACGGTGGCCCCAGCCCAGCGACCAGCCCTGAATTTGAACAGGAAACAAATGGATGAGGCTGCAACCTTCGTTTCTACTGTTCGTGTTTCTTATGTAGAATCACTGTGACGATCACTTTAAACTGTTGTTGGCTTTGTGTTCATGCCTTAGGTTTGTACTGTTCAGTGGTAATTATGTTACGTGTTTCGTGTCATTTTAGGGAGACAGTGTAATGGATTCATTTCTCCTGGGAGTAATTAAACAATGTGCTGCATTACGTTTTAGTGTTCTGCGTAATAAAACGAACACCGAGCACAACAAAGACGGGAAAGACCTCCAACGTGCACAAACATTTGACCACGCAGCATGCAACTCAAGTCTTTGATATGCTGCAGAAATGGCGGCGGCTCTCCAAGCAGAGCCAATAAGAACCCAATGAGAGAGCGTGATATTGATCAGGGAATCAGAATCACTAAACTCTAATGGATTCCCATCCAAGACACCGTACACTCGTAAAATTCACTTCATGCTGAAATTTAAATGTTGCCGTTTTATTTATGACAAATGGAAAACTGTACATAAAGTACTCGTGTGTATTTTCTACCAACTTGCTTTAACTTCAGCTACAACTGCTTGAAGTTAACTATGTGCCATGTTTCTTTAAGCTGCTTAAATGTACGTCCATTTTTTTTGATCACATATCCAATCTGAAATACTGTACTGTGCAAAAGTCTTGAGCCAGTGCTAGTTTCGTTACGTTTTATTTCCAAGGAGCCCGACTTGATCATTTCTTAAATGTGATTTTGAACAACACTTTTCACCCATTTCACTCCTTCCAGCATTCTCACAGGAACGTTTCAGCCAGTCAGCTAAAACTTAGTGTAACTTGACACTGTGTCCATCTTCAAAATATTTGAGGAAACTGGACAAAAGAAGAAGGGGCAGGTCTAAAACCCATGTGACCCGATGTGATGTCATTAAAGAATGATGACACTGCATCCTCCCAGTCCACAGCCTTCTGAGCAAACATGCAAGTACAAACTTGAATATTTGGGTACAGAGAAAAATGGCTAAAGTCATGACACAAAAGAGTAAAAATAACAAAGTTAAAGGTCAGCATAGCCAAACGCAGGCGCCATCTTCTAAATCTGGTCTGTTGGTCTGCAGGCACTAAAGCTGCATGAAACACATAAAAAGGGCAGCAGCATACTAACGACCCGATATCTCGATGCACGCTGCAATAGACGTAGGCTGCCGGGGATTCCCATGATGCACTGGGTGTTTCTTCTTCACTCACTATGTGTTAACAGACCTCTCTGCATTGAATCATATCTGTTATTAACCTCTGTCTCTCTTCCACAGCATGTCTTTATCTGCTGCTCATAGGGGGTCATATGATTGTTGGGTTTCCTCTGTATGTATTACTGTAGGGTCTACTGTGCAATATAAAGCTCCTTGAGGCGACTGTTGTTGTGATTTGGCGCTGTGTAAATAAAGTTGAATTGAATCAATGGCCATGAGTCCCATTCACAGAGAGTTGGGGATGGCTACAATCACAATATTGTAAGATGGTGACAGATGTACCCTCGTGGAACGCAGAACTGGTCTTTGCAAAATACTTTTACATGTAGTCAAACTGTATTGAATTTATGTGTGGATGTCAGCACATTTTGTGAATAGTTTAAAACACTGTGTTCATGCTGTGGATTCTATACAAGAACTGGCCTGGGGTTGAGTGGCTGTAGTTCAGGAGGGGCAGCAGATCATCAACTAATCAGAAGGTTGGCGGCTAAAAACTGCAGCTGTTGCCAGAGGGTGGATTTTCTGCATTCATAACTCGCAAGTGATCAACATCCCCAGCATCGCTGGTTGGAATACTGGTTACAGTTGTGTAATATATGCTCCACAAGCACAAACAAATGTGTGCAACTTTAGAGCACTCACAAACAATCTTAAAATTCACACATACATTCAGCACAGTCCCAAAACACTGGACAATGAGGTAAAAGCAGACCTGCACAGAACAACACACAGCATCCTGTAGCAGAGTGATGCTGACAGAACACAACAAAGACGGCCAGGATCAGGAGAACAGCTCGGGAACGAAGCCCGGAAAGCTGAAAGCATGCAGGTGCTCACTCCAACGTGGACTTCCAAGCTTGTTACAACTGCACACATTCTCCATGCAAACTATGCTAAAGGAGAGGCGGCCCAAGACTTTCACACAGCACTGTGTAACTGCACATTTTATGAGCATCAGCGGACAGACTACCATCTACCTGTGGTGGGCTTCACGACGATACTTCTTCATGGCCACACCGTCCATGTTGGCTGGAAGAGCAGCGAAGTTCTGCAGACGGTCGCTCCACGAGGTCGTCATCTTTAACCGTTACTGACGTTTCTGTAAGAAAAGACACCGAATCGTTTAAACAGCCCAGCTGGCTCTTTGCGTCGCACTGAGAGCATTAACGAGGACGCCTCGGCGTCTCCCTGTTACACCCACGGCCCCTCACGTCCTTTAACGTCGTAACGCCTCAAATCTCACTTTTTGATGATGACCCACACCCTCTCACACAGCCCTTTTCCACTATCACCCACTCGGGTTTAGGGGCTTCCTCTGTTTATTAAGGCCATGTGGATTGGACTGTTAACGGCACATGCGTATTTTAAACAAGAGCAGAAGGCAGGTTCCGGTAAAGTTCAGCTTCATCTTACAGAGTAAGTTCCGATGCTGCAGCTGACAGCACGGCGTGTAACCACACTCCGAGCGCCCACGCACCGAGAGCTCCAGCTGCCCTCGAACAGTCACAAGTCGCAACAACTTCACAGACCAGACGCTGTTAAGATAAAACGCAGTTTTACACTTTATGCAGAGAATGACAAACAACTCACCGTCGTTTCTAGTTTTAACTTGGTACAGTGTATGGCGCATGCGCAAATCTTTGCAGCTGCTTCCTGGTCTTCTCTGTTGTTATTGCAGTTTCCTTTTGCACCGAATGACTTCACCGCCCTCTCCTGGAGCTTCTGAATACTTGGCCCGTGTGCCCGCCTCGACACCTCCGTGGACAGAAATGTACACGCACAAAATCTGCCGTAAAATCCACAAACGACAATGTTTTTCTGCTTTTTTCATAAATCGCTGAACCAACTTGAGCCCTTTTTAAATGATCAAAGAAAATTACTTTCAGGATATTAAGCCTTGAAAACCTGCTTAAACATCTCTGCATTTAAAAAACATTGTTCTTTTTTTATCTGTTTCTCTCAAACACGCAGTCCTGTGGAAGAGCAACAGACTGGTGTTGCGGCATGGTCGTAGCCCCCAAAAAGGACAAAGAGAAAGTCCGCATCTGTGTGGACATGACACCGTTAAATGAGTCAAGGGTGGCTGTAGCTCAGGTGGTAGAGCAGGTCATCTACTGATCGGAAGGTTGGTGGTTCGATTCCCGGCTTCCCCTAGTCTGCATGCCAAAGATCCTTGGGCAAGATACTAACCCGAAATTGCTCTCCGATGCATTCATCGGAGTATGAGTGTGTGTGAATGTCAGTTGTGCTTGTACGAATGGGTGAATGCACAAATTGTGTAAAGCGCTTTGAGTGCTCAGAAGAGTGGAAAAGCGTTAAATGAGTCAGTGTGTCGTGAAAGATCCTCCCCTCTGTAGACCAAACACTAGGCATGCTCACAGGTGCGCAGTATTTCTCCAAGCTCGATGCTAACACGGGCTTTTGACAAATACCGCTGTCCAAAGAATCTGCTCTCCTCACCACATTTATTACACCATTTGGTAGATACCATTTCAATCGTTTGCCATTTCATTTGGTATTTCCAGTGCACTGGAGCATTTCCAAAACATGATGGTGACGGAAGTGACAGCCGGCCTCGCGGGAGTCGTGTGCCACATGGACGACATCCTGGTCTGGGGATCCACGAGAGAGGAGCACGACATGAGACTCCACGCTGTCCTCGACCGTGCAGAGAAGGCGGGCGTCACCCTGACCATGTCAAAATGTGAGTTTGGCAAAAGAGCAGTGAAATTCTTAGGATTCATTGTGTCATCTGAAGGCATGAGCCCCGACCCTGACAAAACTAGCGCGGTGCAGAATATGAAAGAGCCAAGCACCGTGAGTGAGCTTAGGAGCTTCTTAGGAATGGTGAATCAGCTGGGGAAATTCATCCCAAACCTCTCCGAAAAAAAGACAAACCACTGAAAGACTTGCTTTCAAATAAAAACGTGGTACTGAGGGCACGAGCAACAAAACATGTTTGGCAGTTTAAAAGGAGAACTGTCATCCGTTCCAGTACTGCAGCTTTACAACCCAAACAAACCCCAAAACATCTCCACCGATGCCTCTTCATACAGGTTGGGGGCAGTCTTACTACAGAAAGACAATGACGTGTGGTCACCAGTCGCGTGTGCCTCACGATCATTGACAGCCACAGAGCAGCGCTACGCTCAGCTGGAAAAAGAAGCGCTAGCGCTCACCTGGGCCTGTGAAAGATTCAGTGACTTTATTCTAGGGCTACACTTTGAGCCTGAGATGACCATAAGCCACTTGTGAGCCTACTTGGAGGGCAAGCCTTGGATTTGCTTCCACCGCGGATACAGAGATTCTGCATGCGCCTAATGAGGTCCATTCCAGGCAAAAGCCTCACCACAGCCGACAAGCTGTCACGGGTACCGCTGGCAGGCAGCGTGATGCCCAGAGACAATGATCTTATGGAGGACACCGATATTTACGTGGACGCAGTGCTGGAGGGCCTTCCTACTAGCAGCAAATAGCTTGCAGATCTCCGTGAGCAGCTACAGTGTGAAGTTCTGTGCAGAGGGCTGGCCGGACAGGAACCAGCTGCAGGGAGTGATAAAGCACTACTGGTCTGAAAGAGCAGTTTTGAGTGTACACAATGGACTACTACTGCGAGGCACAAGGTTGGTCATACCTGCAAACATGCGAAATGCAGTTTTGGACAAAATACACGAGGGACACCAAGGGGTAGTTAAGTGCCAAGAACATGCCCGACAAGCAGTGTGGTGGCCAGGCTTAAGTAATCAGATCCGTGAACTTGTCCTTAAGTGCAGGCTGTGCATACAGTTAATGTGAGGGAACCTCTTATGCCCACACGTTTACCTGAGAGGCCATGGCAGAACGTAGGAGCTGATTTGTTCACACTAAAAGACAAAAACTATCTGTTAGTAGTGGATTATTTCTCGAGATATGTCGAGATTGCTCAATTCAGCCCAACTCGTTCAGCCAATGTGATTGTGCATTTAAAGTCAATATTTGCACACCATGGAATACCTAAAGCATTGATTACCGAGAATGGCCCACAATTTGCATGTCAAGAAATGAAAGACTTTGCAAAGGACTACTGTTTTGAGCATGTCACCAGTAGTCCCAGGTACCCGCAGAGCAACGGCGAGGTGGAGAGAGGCGTCCAGACCATCAAAAATCTCCTCAAGAAAGCCAGCGATCCAGGCATTGCTGGCATGCAGAACAACAGCACTGGCGAATGGCTACAGCCCGGCTCAACTTCTCATCATACATCGTACATCATCAGTGGACCCCAAGGGACAATCAGAAGGAACTGCGGTCATCTTGTGCCGATCCCCCAAACAAAGACTCAAATCGACGCAAAACAGATCCAGTCCACCCCTATAGAGGCTGTTTCTGAGCCAAGCGCACCCCATACAGCAGGTGTGGTTAGAACCTGGTCTGTAGGGAAGTGATTAAACCGAAAAGACTTGATCTGTGAAGCAAATTGTTTGGAAAGGGAAAAGTTGTATTTCGAAACGCTAAGTTTTGTTTTTGAGAATAGCATGTTTAAAAGGACAAGAAGGTTTAACTTGTGTTAAGAGTGTAAGAGAAGGTGTTTATGAAAATACCAAAGTTTATGTTTCCTGAAATGCTGGGGTATGTCTGTATTGAAAAAAATATTATGCAGTTATGTTTTGTTTGAAGAGCAAACGAATGTACCAGCCTAACTTCAGTAAGGGGGATGTGGTGTAATCGATACTGATGTACATCATGCGCCACTAGGTGGCAGTACTTACCCACTCAACGGGAAGTGTGTGGCATGTAAAACAGCACGAGAGTAAGCTGTATTAAAGAAAGATTGTTGTTGCTCCATGTTATCACTTGAGCAGGAGTTTTATTCAAGAGCCCAACACAACATCAGATATGATCTTATCAAAGCACAGATCTTGGTAATGATACAGAAACAGTTCTACAGTATGACGCAGTGGCCTTCTTCATCTGTAAATGCAAGACGTTTGGAATCAAAAGGATTATTCATGGCCAAACCTCAGTGGCCACACGACCAGCTCAAGTGACTGAAGTAGAAGAGCCTGTAGGTCTGGATCAGGGTGGAAGGGCAAAGTGAACCAGGTAGTAATTCTGATGAGCATTACTCTGTGGCAAGAGGACAACCTTCCAGAAAGACATCTATTTCTGCAACACCAGTCAGGCCTGGTCACTCCTCAGTAAAAAGCACATTACAGCCCACCAGGAGTTTTGCAAAAAGGCACCTGAAGGACTCTCAGGACATGGTCTGAGGGAACTAAGGCCTATGCTGTGACTACAGTGGAGGATGGTGGGGACAGCATCACATGGAGCCATGACCGAGACGCAGCTATCAAACTAGCAGGCGATGTTACACACCACAACAGCAGATGCAAGGACTCCCGCAGCCTGAACAACCTCACCCTTTAGTGATCGCTTGTCCCCCTGATGTTCTTTATAACTTTGTCATGAGCGATGAATATTTTGATTAGGCAAACATGACAAAATGGACGTGTGTGTGTGAAACTTTGGCGCACTGACCTGTTACAATAATCTGTTTAAAAGCATTGAAGGCCTCCGATTCACTGAGCTGAGTTTGTATCTGGAAACATCTCATGCCCTGTGTCTGCTGCAACAACAAACAAAGGCAGGTCCTTCTCCACCTCACCTATTCTCATTTGCTTTTAAGAAGACTTCTTCTGTTCATTGTTGAACGTTTTGCTAACTAATCATCACTAGATCAGCAGCACAAACACTGTTCAGTTCAGTTTGTTGAACCGTGAGCTCAGATGCTGATATTAGGTTGGACGGACCAGAGGGATGATCGGCTGTGCTGATATGATTCGGGTAGTTTGGTCAGACGCAGATGGGAGTGTGTCACGTGTGACCAGGCCTGTCATAAGCAGATGCATGAGTAAAGCTAAACAATTATCTTATGAGACCTGGGGCTATTCAAAAAACATCTGGAGCTCAAACCTTTAGAGCCCCAAATGCAATTTCATTGTTCTCTGACAATGACAATAAATAAATACAAATACAAACACCTGTCACCTTTCTAACTCCAATCCAGCAAACAGCAAACGGCCTGAAAAGCAACTTCACACCTATAGGACCGCTTCCAGTGCACAAACTGGAATCAGTTTTTATCTCAGGACCTAGAAGAATACCAGTCACCTTTCTTTCCAAGCTCCTTAAATTAACAAAACTACTGTACTCGTGTACATCAGATGACATGTCGACAATGTCACCATCATTAAAGACATCTGTCATGCTCCCTGTGTCTGCCTGGCCAGCCCCCCGAGGCTACATGTTGATTGTGTTCATCTTGAATCACCAAGAATGATGCAAAATGTTGGATGCAGAAGTGGAGGCATGTTCTCTGGAGTGAGTAATGATGCTTCTTTGACTGGAAAGCCGATAGATGAG